GAACTGTTAACCCAAGGCTTTACATTTACACTTTCAGAACACAACTTCATCTCTGTGAAAACAAACAATTATGTGGACCAACTGTTAGATGTAGGAGAGGAAGAGCTGACTAATTAGCTAACAAATCCTGCTGGGTAAACTAAGAAAAGCACTAAGCTACTGCAAGAAGCTGGTATTAGTCTTGTTTACCAATGGGGTTTCAGGCACAGAGTAACGCCAGTATACCAGTTGTAATCTGTTTGTGACAAGCCTCGAGTCTGGATTTTCTACAGGTATTGTTCTCACACCAGTGGCGGTTTTACCATTAGGCATAGGTCGGCGGCCGCCTGGGGCCTCGTTGTGTTGGTGGGCCCCCTAGCCCTGAATGCCGGTACCCCTCTGTTAATGCCACAATATTCTTATTACCAACCTGTCGTTGCAGACGGGATTGGACATGCACACTTCTCATTACCATAATTCCTGAACCGTTAAAGATATCATTAAAATTCCAAAAGTGCTGAAAAGATTAAAAATGGGGCTTTTTGTGCATATACGATACATTACAGCAGCCACCGGGATTCCCTGTGTTGAGCGCAACGAATCACAACACAGATTCAGAGACGTGCTGAGTTTGTCATCCAAAATGCTGTTTTATAATTTATGAATGGCTGATCAGATAAAAAAAATTCCAACGCTTCCTAAAAGTTCATAAAATCAGCTTTCCAAAGATCTATAGCATGAAGCAGTGTTGCCAACTTAGCGACTTTGTCACCATTTCTAACGACTCAAATTTAGACCCCCTTAACGACTTTCTTTCAAAAGAGCGCCTAGCGAAAAATCTGGTGACATTTCTGACCCCCCTCAGCTACTTTGACTACAACTTTGTAGCAGACTTTACCTGCAGATTAGCGAGGCATCTGAAGCGACAGGACCGTCCATCCTTCCAGAGGATCAGAAAGAAAATGATCTGCGCATGTGCGTGCAGCATGATCACGCTACCCCCATTGACCAATCAAACCTTTTGTGGGTTTTCACAAGTCCATTATTTGAGATTGCCACCAGAGCTACATAAAGGGCAACCGCTCCTTCTGCCATCCTGCCGCATTTCGGCAGCTGAGCTCGGCTGGCACTGGCAGGCAGCGTCGCACTCACACATGGCTTCTCGCACCACTTGTGGTGCATTCAAGGAACATTGGAACTCTATGATGAGTTCAATAACGTAGCCTATTTAAAACTTTTATGAAAAACAGAATAATACTGTAAGACAAACACCTCAGGTCATTGGCAGTTTGCATGTAACGTTTCTGAATACTAAATACGGCCTGCTTCTTTTTACACAAAAGTACTAAAAACAACAAAACCAAACAAAAACAATATATATATATATATATATATATATATATATAATTTTAGGTCAATATATAGCACTGAATCACGACAGAAGAATACATCTCAAGGCACTTGAAAACTACAAGAGAAAATTCATTTTAATTCAATCATACATACATTCCTATCAATTTAATATTTTTGTGTTTAAGAGTTCCATTCTCTTCAGACAAAATAGAAATATTCCTTCCATTTTTTTGTGCAATCTTTCCTTGATGTTTTAAAGGCTGCTGTTTTGTATACTATGGGGTTTTTATTTTAATAAAATATTAAAAATAAATTTAAAAATTTTTGGAATAAAATCACGTGGGTTGTATTTGATTTACTCTGCAAGACCGTTGACATCGTGACGCAAACGTGGTGATGTCATCACGCAAACCAGATGATGTCATTGTGTCGTATGCAAATTAGCACGTGACGTCATCTGGCGACATCTAGCGACTTTTGGGGAGAACTTCAGCTACTTTCAGTCAAAAACAGTTGGCAACACTGGCATGAAGCAATCAGAGTTACGGAAAATATCGCTACGAGGGAAAATCCTGCTGTACAGCCTGATTGAAAAAGATTGAAAAAGAGCACTGCGGAGCACTGCGGAGCGCAGCGCCGTGGTGAAAGCAGATAACAAACCATAGGAATGTCAAAATTGGGGCCCAGGGGCCATTTGAAACCCTAAAAGTGATTTTGTTAATGTTCTCTCTCTAGATAAAGAGATTGATTCTAACATTTTCATGTTCAGACGTTTTTGTTTTATTTTGAGGAGGGGAAATAAATAAATAAATATAAATTGACATTGAACAAACTGCTGGGAAAAGAAGAAAAGGAAGAGAAGCTGTTCAGGTCCATGAAACCCTCTGGTTCTCCAGAGGACCCCCTCCCACCAAAACTACTAGTTGGGGCTCTTCCTGTGCTGGCACCATTTATTATGGAAATCGTCAACAACAGCATTTCGACTGGAGTGTTTCCAACCACCTTTAAGAATGCAGTTGTACATCTACTGAAAAAACCTGGCCTGGATCATACTGATTTTTGTAATTATCGTCCGATTTCCAAACTCTCGTTTTTATCCAAGATTATTGAGAAAGGAGTTCACACACAACTTTCCAGTTACTTAGGAGATCAAAGCCTCCTCGATCACTTTCAGTCTTGCTTTAGACCTCACCACCGCACAGAAACTGCACATCTTTGTGTATTAAATGATATCCTGGTGGCAACTGATTTTGGTTCCCATGTCCTTCTGATACTCCTTGACCTCTCAGCTGCCTTCGACACAGTGGACTATGACATCCTACTTAGGAGGTTGGAGATGAGGCTGGGGGTAACAGGGATCCCACTTCACTGGTTCATATCATATTTGTCAGAAAGACAATTTAGTGTTCACATTGACAACTTTTCCTCTCCATCTACTCCACTTCGCTGGGGTGTGCCTCAGGGTTCGATTCTAGGGCCACTTCTATTCTCGATTTACTTATTGCCATTGGGGATGATCTGACTAACCTTGGAATAAGTTGTCACCTTTACACGGACGATTGCCAGATTCATCTGGCTTTAAGTAAACCTTACTCAACACGCCTCCTTGTCGACTGTATTACTGCAGTTAAAGGCTGGCTGTCAGAGAACTTCCTTTGCCTTAACAAAAACAAGACCGACGCCATTCTTTTTAATCCAATAAATCCAAAGCATGCACCTGGTGACTACCCTGTACACTTTTTAAATCTTAAATCCTGTGTATCCAGTCTGGGAGTGAAACTTGACCCTGATCTGTTAATGAGATCACAAATTAACTCTACAGTCCGGTCCTGCTTTTTTCAATTACGTCGCATCTCGCGCTTAAAGTCAATAGTCAGACGACCTCAGCTGGAGTCTGTTGTTCACGCCTTTGTAACTACACGTTTAGACTATGCCAACTCTCTACTTGTTGGTGTCAGCGCCTCAGCAATCGAGCGTCTACAGAGAGTGCAACATGCGGCGGCTAGGTTCCTGACAAACACCTCGAGACGCTGTCACATTTCACCCATCCTTGCACGCTTGCACTGGCTGCCTGTTAAAGGCAGGGTCCGTAAGATGACACCGAACGGCTGTTGCTCACTCCCCCGCCCTTCCTGAAAGAGCCGAAAGCCACACCTCCTAATGTGCACGCGCAGGAAAAGCCGAGTCAACATCGGAGCATTGCTTCTTCGTAATAGAGGAGCTGAGGTAGTGTTAGCAATGGAGTTATGAGGTAAGACAGTTGTTTTAAACCAGCACATTTAAACACTTACTGTTTACAAAAGGCATTTTATAAAGAATATCTATAAATATGTATGTATATATATATATATATATATATATATATATATATATATATATATATATATATATATATATATTTTAAAATACCAGTAACAATTGACAATCTATATTGTAAATACATTTAATCCTATCAAATTGTTAGCATTTTATTACGAGTAATTAGCTTATTTTTAATTGCTTTGCCATTCAAGATAGGATAAATATATCAAAGCATATAAATAATTTATGTGGAAATCATGAATAAACACTGCATTCTGTGTAGTCCTCCTATAACCATGGTTGTTTTCATAGTTTCTGTTTATTGTTGGTTTAGTCCAAATTTGGACTAGATGTAAACCTGATCTGTGTCAAAATTGATTTAATATGCAAGAGTACTTTTTGTATTAGTATAATTTTTTTATTCTAATACAATTTAGAGTCCAGTGATTGAGGAATCCTCTGAGGAAGAGTTTGAACCTCCCATTGCATCCTCAAGACGTGGTGCAAAAAGGAGATGCCCACCATCATCTCAAAGACGTGGTGCATCCAGAGGCCGTGGTGCATCCAGAGGCCGAAGAAGTGCAAGACACTCAGCTGTGGACCTTGGAGATGAAGATATCACTCGAGTTTGGAATCTTCGTTCCGAGCGAATAGACTTTGAACGTGTAAGCATAACAAAATTACACTAAATGATCCTAAAAACTTGCAGTAGCATCTCTTTCCACTTTTGTAGCAACACATACAGAACCTGAACCCTCAGCAGGCTATTGACGTCCTTACCATGGTGCTGGACAGAGACCCTGGTGTGCTCTTTGATGTACTTGCCCTCTCTGGTCCACCTGCCACAACACCTCCAACATCCAATCAACCTTCATGGTGTGTATGCTCCCACTGCAGAGATGCCAACTGATTTGGAAAGGAAATGCTGCCAACAGCCTCCCCAGACATGCATTTCAACAGTCCCCGCACATGGAGGAGTTTATTCTGCAAAATGGTGTTCTTCGCCTGGCCCGAACATTGTGGAATGAGTTTCAAGCGGTTTATGATGACCCGGGCCTTGGTGAGGACAACAGACAGTTCCACCATGCAGCTTACAATTTGTAGCATGGCAGCATGGAAAACTTGGTGGGGGGCGCAGGGTAGTAATCCCAAGCTGTTGTCTGGAGGATAAGGGAAAAATTCCCTGACCCCAGTGGTAACTACACTGGTTTTCTTCCAAGATGATTGTAAATAATTGTATATATTTAATATTTTACATCAGTTTGTTTTTTATATATTTTTGTTTGATGCTCTAATAAAGTGTTCTAAAGCATAACTCTGAGTTGCATTTGTAAAAATACCATAAATGTTAAAACTCCTGCACAACAACAAAAACTCATCTCTACCTCCAGCATTTTACATACATTTTTAAATTATTAGTACTTATTTCCCAAAAAAATAATCTTTATTTTCAAACAAAAAAAAAAAAAATAACCACAGGAAACACAAAAATAAAGAAGGTTTTGGGTTTTCTCTTACCTCCCCCAACACCTATTTCTTTGGCAAAGTTTTACCTGTAAATAAAAAATAAACTCAGTTAGCAATGGACTATTGTGTGGAAGATGTAAGGCAGATAATGTTTTATTTTACCATCACCACAAGTCTTTTGGTGTTGTAGAAGTTCCTCTGTTGATGGTGCCGGAACTCCGGACAGCAAACCGTAACGCCTTGGATCCTCAGGCCTTAGCTTGTAGCGTCGAGGAAGACCTTTCTTGCTCGGTTGACGATCATGGTTTGGATCTCTGGGATGTAGGAGTAGTCTTTTGCCACCTTCTCAGAATACAGCCTCCAGCATCTAGATTTTTTGTTCAATATTTTATGGTATCTGAAATGACACATGCCATAACTTGTAGTATCCAACAAATTAGCTGAAAAAGTGTTTTAAATTAAAAGTAAATAAGGTAAGCCCCACCTGGAGGCGCTATTATTGAAAACGTGGGGTTTCTGTTATTCTACAGTTGGCCGCTTGACAGCATGTTGTTAAACCAATATGTAGCAGTTAGGAGCGTTGTGGTTGTTCATCTGAGGAAGTTGTTAATAAAAACGGACTAAAACTGGACCAGTGAATTATGAATTCATGAGTGTATATGTTTTATTACAAAAATAAATAAATGCGTACTGTATCGACCCATCTGGTCTCCACTTCTCTATGTGAGTGGTGATTGTAGTCCAACGCAGCAAGCAGTATCCATGCCTCGTAAACAGGTGCGATGTAACTGAAACTTTTGCTTGCATACATTAGGAGATGGTTGTGAAACGCCTCCAAATTTGCTGTAGTTTTATTTATTTATTTCTATACATTTTTTATAGTCATTCATTATCCCATTTCCAGAATTTCTTTTAAAAAAATCCACCGCTAACTTAAAACAAACAGACGCAAAATTATAATATTCCTGGTAGAGGTTTTTAGGCAGCTATTTACCTTTCAGATGATTCTCCATGAATGCTAGACAGAGCTGGCACTGGTGTTGGAGAAATAAACAGTTGGCGTTTCAGTAGTGTTGATGCTGATGCTTCATATTTGGACTGATGACTGTAAAAACAAAGCCCATATTAAAATAAAAAGTAGTAATCACAGGCTAAACAAGTAAAAGAAACACACAATATTATGTTATATAGCCATCTCTTAGTTTACACATCTATGTTATTGTAAAATATAATGAAATGAACCATAAACTTACTTGGAAATCCCATATAAAATATATTTAAAAAAATATCCAAAAGTATTGGAATTTTAAACAAAGTCAAAGGTTTTCTAGGAATTTCAACGCTTCAGACATTATATTATTCATTTATCTTACCATGCTTAACTTATTGTATTGAGGTTTGGGGCAATACGTATAAAACAAACACTAATCCTTTGTTTCTGTTACAGAAGAAAGTTTTGCGAATTCTACATAAAGCTAATCCGAGAGAACATACTAACAAATATTTTGTTCTATCTAAAATTATGAAATTCAAAGACTTAGTTAACTTAAAAACTTTACTAATTATGTTTAAGGCTAGAAATAATTTACTGCCAACTAATCTACGAAGGCTCTTTGTTTTGATCCCAAAAAATGATAAGAGTAGAAAGAAACCAGAGTTTAAAAGGATATGTGTTCGTACTACATTAAAGCAAATGTGTATTTCAATATATGGTGTGAAATTATGGAATAACCTGGATGATGAATTAAAAAAATGTACAACTACTGATCAATAAAAAAAATGTATAAAGATAAAATGCTAAAATCGTATGATTTGGTGAGTTGAGGATGGACGATAAATTTTTTAGTAGTGATATTGTTTGTGGAAGTAAGAGAGCGGTTTATTTTTTGTTTATAAGGCAATTTTGTACTTTTTGTTATTTATCTTGTCTTAGTTAAAGGGGGCAGGTCATATAAGATTTTTTCTTCTTCCTCCCCCATTTCACTTGAATGCTTATATTCTAATTTGAAGTTTGTATATTTAAACTTTGTGTGAAATAAATTATTGAATTGAAGGTCAGAGAAACTACTAAATAATTGACTGTACCATGAAGACCATGCAAATCACATTATATTTTTCTGCTAAGACAAATCTGATTGTAATTGGTAAAGTATCTCCTCAGCCAACTGAGTTCAACATGAGCTGCTAATCACTCACTTTGATATGATTTGCTTTTTCAAAACAGGAAAACCTAATAAAATACTTGAATTTGGCACTCGATTATTGCTATGACTGCAACAGGCTAAATAGTGTGATATCAGCCTAACTGACAGCCAATGTGACCGTGTTTTGGATAGGTTTGTGGTCAGATACGTCTTTTTCCAACAGCTACTGTTTCTCCCCAGCCTTCACAGATTTCTACACGAGCTGATTATCATTCCTTTTATTTTAATATGGAGTATTCACGTAGGTAAAACCCAAAATCAGACGGTAATCTGTACACGTGGCCCACCCAGGTTAGCACAATATGTCTTTCAGTGCTAATGGAAACGTAAGGTTTTGGATACGTTCCTGATCAATCACACCTAATTCTAACTGCTGAATCATCTCCTCAGACTTCAACAAGTACTACATGAGCTGCTGATTACTCATTTTAATCAAACACGCAGCTCAGGAAAGTGTAAACATCTAATTCAGCATTCAAGATGCTAACCGAACCCCGCTAAAGGGGAAGTTATAAACAAGAGCTTAAAACAATACACTGATATGGCCTATAGTTAAACGCCACACTAATCATTAGCTCCCATACAAATAAAACTAAAATCCCCTTTCGTTACTCAAACTTATTCCAAATATAGCATAAATAGTTCAACGACTAACATCGATTCATGTCGACTTATTATTCAAGCTAATGCTACATTAGCCAATAGGACACCAAGCATACAAAGCTTGGCATACACACGCACACACACACACACAGAGGCTAAAAATGCCATTACTATAACTACCAAGCATTTTAAATTAGGTTCCGCCCACTTGGTTACTATGACTACAATGATGCTGAAATTAGCCCCCCCCCCCACTAATTTGCATATCTATGTGACATCACTGAGTTCCAGAGACTCTCATTGACTCCCATGTTAAAAATACCAATTTCACAGCAGAAATAAACATGTTTACAGCCTGGTACCAAAACATGTTTTTGGTTTAAATGATCTAGTTTACACTCATGACAACTCTGAGGGGGTGCATTTTTTTTCTCTCTCTTCTGTTTAAGTGTATTAAAAGCCTAAAATTCTGTATAATTAATAAGCATCAGACCCACGTGACCACAGAGCTAGCTCCGGGGAAAGGCCGCAGTCTGAGCCTCGGTCTGGCCTGAAAACTGTTCAGTTTCAGTCCCTCAACTTAGACCATTATTGGCCGAGCGTTTCTCGCTCTGGTTTGTCTCTGTTCTCTGGGGCGGGCAGCAAGCTCATAACTTTATGGTTTTGGTCCATCATAAGCATAATTATTGACATTTAAAGTTTCCTCTGTGCCAGAGCCGGCATTAGAGTCTATATTTTTCTCTGGATTAAGCTAACAGGCGTCCCTCAGCTGACGTCACTTGGTTTGACAATAATTTGTATATGTTTAAAAAAAATGTTTAAAATTAGTTTCTATTAAATTTCTCTAAACTTTGGTTTATGGGAGTCTCTAACTTACAATTAGCTCTTTAAGGATCCCGTGTGACTGATTGAATTAGTTGATAACTAAGTATCTGACTTGTTACTAATCTAATGTTCTCTTTCCGTGGGTATAACCCAACTGCAGCGGTTTTGTCTCTGAAGTCTGATGTGCTATGTATCAGACTAACTAGGTCTAAACTCTAAAACTCCACTGGCTGAATTTCATAGTAGCTAGATGGCGATACACCAATTCTGGTGAATACCGACGTGATTCTATCAATCATGTCAGTTAAACATGTGAACTTTAACATGACGGCATAGTCGCCTGCAGGGTCGCCGTGGGTGTTGCGGGGATGTGGATCAAAGTAACCAAATTCACCTGATTGAGTCCTGAATATAGCAATGCAGCTGCTGCCCATTACCATTAGCGCATACTGAACATCTGAGGTCAAACACTGTAATCCCTGTGACAAGTTGGGAAGGTCGCCTGATAAAAATACCCCACATTTGGAATTTGCAAAGTTCATTTTGACGTGATATAGACTAACCCGAGCTTTGACCTCGGTAGGTAACTCATCTGTAGCCAGGTGGTCTCTAGCTGGATGGGCGAGCCTAACTTGTGAGTACATTCGATCACCTCTGTCCAAAACTAGGTCCAGGTCTGAGCTGCTAATGTTCTCGTTCTCGTGTAGAAACGACAAAAACACCAAACTGTTTGGAAGACACTGCTTATTTCTTTGATTTCCATAAAAGAATGAATCCTGACTTCTGGTTGCAGTCACACTAGTAATCACAGACGGTTGAGTTGCAATGGCACCAGGTACCTGAGATGGAGCATCTAGAGAACTCTGATTTAGAAGAGTAGACATCTTAGTTAGAAAGACGACGGGGTTTTCTTCGGCTTGAATCTCCGGTTTTTCACAAATCTCCATCTGAGGTTCTTTAGCCAGTCGTTTGTTGATGTCACTGGCATCACTAGGTGCATAAGAAACCTTCCATTCATCTAAATCTTCTTGAAATTGTGTCTCATCGTGTTTAGACGTTTTAAACTGCTTGCCCATCTCCCTCCCATTATTCTCAATGTCAGTTTCACTGTGTGGGTGAGCCGTCATTTCCTTTTTCTGCTCTTGGTCCAGATGATCTGCTTTTTGTTTGGTGATAAGGACATCATTATATTTGTTATTCAGTTCCCTAACGTTCTCCAGGGCGTTTTGTAATTCAGTCTCTTTTTCATCAACGTTCTCTTGCAGAAGAGAAATCTGTCCATCGGCCCGTATCTGAAGAGCGTCCTTCTCAGCTCTTAATTTCTCTATAATCTCTTTGGTCTGAATCTTTGTCTCAGAATGGGCCTGGATCTCTAAATGAAGTTTGTCCTCAAAAGTTTGAATCTGCTGTTTAGCAGAAAGTATTTCAGCTTCAGACGTATCTCTGAGCTTCTGGTTGGCAACCTTCATGCAATCTAGCTCTTTCTGCAATCGTGTCTCATTATGCTTAAACTTGTCAATCTCACTGCTGATATGTTTTAGCTGAGTTTTAGTAACTTGATGATCACGCCTCTCCTTTTTCAGCTCAATTTCCAGCTGCTCTGTTGTACGTTTGCTAGTCAAAACATCTTCATTGTACTTTTTATTCAGCTCCTGGTATAAAACTTCGACTTTCTCCAGAGCGTTTTTTAATTCTGTCTCTTTTTTATCAAAGTTCTCCTGCAGAAGAGACATCTCTTTGTTGAACCGTAGCTGAAGATCATCTTTCTCAGCTTTTAATTTATCATTCATTTCTTTGGTCTGAATCTTTGCCTGGACCTCTAAATGAAGTTTGTCCTCAAAAGTTTGAATCTGCTGTTTAGCAGAAAGGAGTTCAGATTCAAACTTATCTCTAAGCTCTTTCATGCAATCCAGATCTTTCTGCAATCGTGTCTCATTTTGCTTAAACTTCTTGTTAGTCTCACTGCTGATATGTTCTAGCTGAGTTTTAGTAACTTGATGAGCGTGCCTCTCCTTTTTCAGCTCATTGTCTAGGTTACTTGCCGTAATTTTGCTGTTCAGAATATCTGTATTATACGTTTTATTCAGCTCCTGGTGTGAAAACTTCATGTCCTCCAAAGCCTTTTGCAATTGAGACTCTTTTTCTTTAAAAATTGTTTGCTGTTCTGCCAGCTGTGTACATAAAGCCTTGTTTTCATCTGTCAGACATTCAATACGTTTTTGGATGTCGTTATTCGATTTCAAACACTTACCTTTTTCCATCTCAAACTCCTTTTTAAAATGGTCTGGTCGGGAGTCCGTTGTGGTCACGTTGGCTTGAGTTTTCTTTTCCTGACTTGAAGCCCTGGGGAAGTCCATTCCTGCTTTGACTCTGTGGAAATGCCGCTGATTTTTCTCGCTGGACTCCGATCGATCAGCTTGTTCTTTCTCAAACTTCTGTTTAAAATATCTTGTCTGTTTTCGTACATCAGATAATTGGCTTTCACGCATTTTGTGAACATCATCAAGGAAAGCCACGAATCCCAAAGTTTTATGTTGGTCCAAATGCACTCCATATGTTGTGGAAAACTGTGTTGTCATTTTAAGATCTTGATGCAGAACTACGAGGTTGTTTAAATCTGAGTTCGTTAACCTAGTTTATAAACTCCTTCTCCTACGAATCCAAGAAACAAATATATGAGAAGTGTGTTTCTAATGTTCACCTGTATGGTGAGAGAGGTCTATCTGACTGGTCCTGACTGACTGACTGCCTGACTGCTTCTGACTGCCCCTCACTGAGCACACTGAGCTTTATGATGTCATAGAGCCTTTGATGTGTCCCTGCTTTTTTTTGCCCTTCTTTAGAATTCATGGAGCACCTGCACTACTACAGTCTAGTCCCGGAATTCTGGGTCTACTTCTTCAGCATTGTTAGACTTCCTGTTGACATTTAAATGTTTCACTAGTAAGCAACGTATGTATGTATAAATAAATATAAATATATATAAATATAAATAAATATATATATAATATGTATAATATATATATATATATATATATATATATATATATATATATATATATATATATATATAATATATGTATAAATAAATAAATATATATATGTATACATATTTATATATGCATATGTATATGTATATATATATAATATATGTATAAATAAATAAATATATATATGTATACATATTTATATATGCATATGTATATGTATATATATATATAATATATGTATAAATAAATAAATATATATATGTATACATATTTATTTATATATATATATATATATATATATATATATATATATATATATATATATATATATATATATATATATATATGTGAGAATATATTGGTAATTTTCTGATGATTTATGGAATTTTTAGGAATTTTTAAAATCATTTGATCAGTAAGTCATGAAATGAAACTTATAGTTTTTGTTGAAAATGCATTAAATCGAGAGACATTAAGCACCAATATTATTCCCAGTATACTATTTATGTTTAGATTGTTGTTTGGTAATCTTTAGATCAAATATGGACAGTATAATAAAAAAAATTCAGACAGGAAAAAGAAAGCAGAGCAAATATTGAAAGCGCTCAAAGGGAGGGAAATACAGGAAAAAAGAGGAGGACTAATAAAAAGGGAAAATAACTCATGTCAGAAGAGGGGAGAGTTTGGCAAATCCAGTTAAAGGTAAGATTGTTGAAAATTTTGTGTAAGGGGCCCCATGTCTGTGTTCACCTTGGGCCCCCAAATTGCTAAATCCCCCACTGTCTCACACCTTTAGTATATCCCTAAAATCTTATATCAAGCTATGCATTTATTTCTAAATAAAGTAGACCGCTTGATTTAAAACTTGAGTTAAGTTCTGTCACACTTGGGATAAAACTGTTTCTTTTTTTTTTATTCTATAATTTCCTACGATTAAATTTGCAATTTTGCATTATTTACAATCCACAGTTAGGTTTTGGTTTTACAACAGAACCAGCATCCTAGATGCAAAAAGATGGAAGTAAGGCCTCCATAAAGACCAAATCTGTTGACTGAAGATTAAAATCTGTTAAAGTATTGATGGGCAAAGTTTTTAACGTCTCTACGTCTACATATAAAGGCAAATGTCAGTATAAAGGTTACATTACTACTACAAAGTTAGCTGACAGCTGTCCTTTAAATATTTTTTTTTATTTATAATTTCTATTTGTTCTCATGTGCTGCAGGCTTTAATCAGCATGTTTGCAGATTTTCCACATTTCTGAATGTTCTTCAGGTTGAAAGCTTAAAAGGTTTTATGAATGACAGCACTACAAAAATTACTTGAACATTTGTTGTCTTGTTTAAATGAAATGTTACATTTTACACAAATTTAATATGACCATTTATAAAAAATAATTGTTCCAATGACAAACTTGAACTGAATCAGTTTTATTTTTGCAGGTGATATTTTGCTCTAAACCTGTACTTGAAGATAAATTTAAAAAAATCATTGGATTTCCTTGTGTTGTGCTGAAACAAATCAGTGTGCCCCGTTGGAGGATGTTGTCCTGAAAAGACACTCTTCCTGCTTCGGTTTGAAAATAGTTCATCAAGCAGTTCCGCACCTCAGTGCCATGTCATGTAGCATGCTCAGAAGTCAAGCGTCCGGTGTCCAAGAGGTTTGTGTCGGTCTCCACAACTTGCCTCCATTCTCCCAAGACATCTCCTTCGTCCACTCTACTAATGTACCTTGCTGTCTTAGCTTGGAGTTGGTCAGTACCACAGAGGAAGTTGTGAAGAGCAACACATCCCTTTGTTATTAATTCAGTAGTGTCAACAGAACACTCCATGGCTTTCCCAAACACTCTCCATCGTGCAGCCAAAATGCCAAAGGCATTTTCTATGACCCACCTTGCTCTGCAGTGTCGATAGTTGTACTTGCGCTGCTCTGCTGTGAGGTTGGTCCCTATTATAAACATGAGAAAATATAATTAGGATTGTATTGTCTTAGTTTAGGGATGAGTGGTTGAGTCGAACTTTGTTTATTCAAATTCTCTACCTTTTTGCTCCACAAACTAACCTGAAAATGGCCGCATCAGGTTCACTTTCAGTGGAAAAGCTTCATCTGCAACGAAAACTGGAGGACTCCGAACAACAGCACCTGGCAGAGGAGATGGAGGTGGCAGGTGCAGCTCCCCCTTGATGAGCTGGGATCCAAAGGCACTTCACTGTCATGGCCATAGGCTCCAACATCCACAAGTGTAGATCTGTACCTGAAGTAAGGAAATAGGTTTTATTTTATGCCCAGCTCCAAATGATGTTTATCTGCAATAAATATTACTTTAAAATTAAATAAATCCTCAGTGAAATGATTTGTCTTTGCAAATATGACTTCAAGCAATAAGTGCATAAACAAATCATTTCAATTAAAGTTTAAAATAAAAGAATATGATTTTGTAAAAGGTATACTCCACCCCTAAATAAAATGTCTGTTTTTATATTCCCCAGCGTTAAGTGAGAAAAAGCAAGTAACTAATCCTCCTGACCTGTCATTTTTCTTCAGGTTAGCATAAAACTATGTAAATGAAATGGAACAACAAAGATTGTTTAATGCTAAACAAAAGACACCGCTGCCAGGTCAGGAGGATTAGTTAAAACATGCTTTTCCTCACTTAACTCTGGGGAATATAAAAACCGACCTTTTACTTACTAGGGGTGGGTATAGCATTCCACCGCTCCCCTGGCGTCGCACACAGCCATCAGGATGAAGCTGAAGTACCCTTTGTAGTTGTGGAAGGAACTTCCACTATTGGCTGGAGCTCGAACTCGAATGTGTTTCCCATCGATTGCTCCGACACAGTTGGGAAAATTCCAAAGAGACCAGAATTCCTCCTGAATTTCCATCCACTTTGCAACACTGGGAAAGGCCACGACGTCGTCCTTGAGTGCTGTCCATATAGCTTCGCAAACTTCTTTTACAATGCATCCAACTGTTGCGGATCCAAGTTCATGGCTGGCTGCCAGGGATTGGTAGCTACAACCAGTAGCAAGAAATCGTAGTGTGACAGCAAGGCGCTGTGATGAGCTAATGGGAGCACTATGTGTGCGTCGGTGGGAAATCAGTGTCTCAATCCTTCTGAGCAACTCGTCAAAAGCAGACGAGGACATTCGGAAGTAATTATAATGTTTTTGATCGTCGATTTCCCTCATCGGCAAAACGAGCTAAACATATTCTCCGTTGTCTTGCCGTGCCTGGTTTAGGGGTCTCACATACCATCTATGACACAGGCGCCATCTTTTTTTCTGTCGTAATCTTAAAATTAACCAGCTACTTAACTCCTCTATCGTCGCCATGTTTGTTTTGTTTTGGTATAATGCCACACACTATACAGTACACTGACCTCTAGTGGAACACTCCAGTAGTGCGTGCAGTACGCTGGCAAATACGCGCTGAAGACGCAGCAGGCTGTTTGTAGTAACGCGAGGTTACGCGAGGTAAAAAAGCAAGTATATTTCCAGCTTAAGGACATCTAACGAGTGCTGCTCCTTAAAAAGCTGCCAGTAGCTCCGTGGCAGCTGTCATGTCTGGATCAACTCGTGTCACACTAATTTAGTGATCTTGCTTACATCTGGGTCATAACCATTAACATATAAATATTGGACAATGGGTTTCCATAGACTCCAATAACACACTTTTGAAGATAAATGGGAGGTGGCCACCACCGCCATTTTGACCGTGTCACAGGTTCCGTCAAGCCCCGAAAATTCCACCAAAGGGAAGGGAGGTGGAGCTGAGGGTGGGGCTGTAAGGCTGGGATCAACTGACGACACCCGGTCAAACTAGCTACAAGCTAACCTGAAGCTAACCCAAAGCTAACACGGAGGTGGGAGCTAAGCTAATGGAGGTAGCAACCTAGCTACAACGGGAGTTAACTGTGCACAACACCAGAGCTTCTGAGTCAGAGATATGCCGGGCTGACCGCTGGGTAAAACCGGGTGGAACACAGAGGTTTCCCGAGAGCTCCACAAGCCAGCAGCCGCACAGCAGACAAGCGCCACTGCGATCTGAGAAGCGCTGAGCTGCCGCTGGGGAGAACCGGGTGGAAAGGTTTCCATCCCAGAGCTCCACAAGCCGACAGCCCGCGCAGCAGACAGGAGCAGCGATCAGAGATGCGCCAAGCTGCGGGGAGGGGAGAAACGGGTGGAAAACATCGGTCCCCTGAGAGCTCCACAAGCCGACATTCAGAACCCAGCTCCACCTACATGTTATATTTCAACCCATTTTCTAAAGTGCAGCATTATGTTAAATGCACTGGGGTTTACCCTATTACATTTAAATTTCATGGTTAAACAGTACATGTTAAAATCTAAGCTCAGCTGGGCAGTGAGTGACCTAAAATACATAAATATAATTTTACTTACAGAAAAAAATGAAGTGGAGACTCCTTGGACGCTCTATTAGTGCAATTAATGCCACAGCAAGTCATTTTGTCCAACAATTGCACAAAAAATATCCAAAAAAGAATACACAAACACAGAGACTCAAAATCCCGGAGCAGTTTCCAGGCCAGACCGAGGCTCTACTGAGGCCTTTCCACGGAGCTAGCTCTGTGGTCAGGTGGGTCGGATGCTCATTAATTATACAGAATTTTAGTCTTTTAATACACTTAAACAGAAGTGTGAGAAAAAAATCCACCCCCCTCAGAGTTGTCATGAGTGTAAACTAGATCATTTAAACCTAAAACATGTTTTGGTACCAGGCTGTAAACATGTTTATTTCTGCTGTGAAATTGGTATTTTTAACATGGGAGTCAATGAGGATTTGCTCGCTTCTGACACCAGCCCCCAGCGGATGAGGGTGGAACTGCAATTTTTGGTACTTCCGGGATTGCTTCAATTTTTGAGCCGCATTGTGGGGGCCTGGTCATAACACAAGCTTGTTTTGTTTTACTTTCTTACATTTCTTGCCCAGATTATTAAAAGCCACTGTGGAAGGTCCAAAGAGCCACAGGTTGCAGATTCCTGATCTATTCCAATGGTGTCCAGCTCCAGTCCTTTTCCAGCATGTTTCCCTACTCCTACACACCTGATTCTAGGACTGAATTAAATGTTCAGCAGAAGGCAGTGAATCACCTGATCTTTAAAACAGAAGAGAAACCTCTAGAACATTCTGGATAAAAGCACTTGAGAACCAGCATAGGGAAATCACTGATCTACAGGTGACACTTGAAAACTTGAAAGTTCATTTGTTTTAGTAACTCAGCTTAAAATGTGAAACTAATATGAGACAGATTCATTCCATGCAAAGCCAGATATTTAAAGCCTTTATTTGTTATTGTTGTGATCATGGTGGCTAACAGCTTATGAAAACCCCAAAGTCAAAATCTCTGACTCCAAATTATTGAACCTATTCACAAGATTCTAATTGTCAAAATGTCCCACTCTAGTAAGCTCATGAATTAAAAACACCTGCAAAGGGTCCCTGAGCATTTAGATCAGACCTGGGCATTTTACGGCCCGCGGGCCACATACGGCCCTTTGGTTGACTTTGACCGGCCCGCGTAAGGTTAACTGGAAATTACAAAATAAATGTATTTTCTCATTTTACCTCATGCATGGGCTAAGGCTGCATTGCTTTTATTTTGAAGTTGTTTTTTACGTGCACAATGACGCAATACGTATAGCAACAAGTGCCCGCGGTTGATATGGTGATTGTAGCCTGAGAAATGTCCGCTCATGCAAAAAAAAAATAAAATAAAAAGAAAAGAAAGAAAGATGCCGAATGCAGGATTTTCAACAAAAATTGGACTGCTAAGTATTTTTTTTACTGAAGTCGGAGGTAAAGCCGTGTGTTTGGTTTGAGGGGAGGAGATTGCCCTGTTTAAGGACTACAATTTGAGTCGGCATTACGACAAGAAACACTCGGAAAAATACAAGAACTCATCTGATGCTGAGAGGGCACGGACATCCGAAGCTTTGCTAGCAAAATTGCAAAAGCAGCAAGGCTGTTTTACTAAGCTTCACACATCCAGGGATGCAGTAACCAGGACCAGCTTTGTGATATCCCACAAAATAGCTAAAAACAGCAAGCCGTTTTCGGAGGGAGAGTTTGTCAAAGAGTGCATGGTGGACTCCGCAGCACTAATATGCCCTGAAAAAAGGCGCATTTGAGCAAATCCCGCTGTCCAGGTGAACCGTGGGGAACCTGGAGCTTCAGCTGCAACGTGAAGTGGCAAGTTTTGACTTTTTCTCATTAGACGAGAGCTGTGATGTCCGGGACACAGCCCAGCTGCTCGTATTTGTCCGGGGGTAACGGACTTCAAGCTCACAGAGGAGCGGGCAGCAATGCGGTCGATGAAAGGGACGTCAGGGAGTGATCTTTTTACAGAGGTAAATGCGTGCACGGACACTCTGGGATTTAATGGGAGAGACTGTCAGGTGTCACAACAGACGGTTGTCCAAATCTTACGCCGGGGACACACCGGCCGCGGAAGCGCCGCAAAGCGCCGAGAAGCGAATCGCTGACGAAATTCGGCCGCTGCTCGCCGCTCCTCAGTTCAGATCAGACGCGCCCCAGTCGAGGCGCGCCTCGGCTCAGCTGTAGTTTTTCTTTTAAACACTTGGTGTCCTCCATTTCCCCTCTGCCTTTTCTCAGCTTTTTTCCTCTAAGTTTGAGTGTTTGTGCGCGCGCGCGCGCGTACGTGTGTGTGAAATAATATTATAAATAAATATTTTCCTTGAACGTGGACACACCGTGTGTGTGTGTGTGTGTGTGTGTGTGTGTGTGTGTGTGTGTGTGAACCTAAGTTTCTGCCAGTTGAATCTCTTGGAACCCGCTCCAAATCTGCAGCTGTATCCTAGCAGTTTCTTCCGACATGGGAACGTAAATAACCACGTTTTTTGGGGGTCGTACAGCTCCTTGTGTTTCTCAACTTCCATAATTAATTTAAAGTCATCCATCCTAACTGCTTGCCTCAGACTTTCTGCCTCTCCGTCCTGTTTGCTCCGTGAAAAGACACCCAAAACCACACACCCCTTCACGCGGTCACACACGCACACAAGTTCGATGTGTGTGTGTTCGTGTGGTTTTTCTGCAGTGTCTGATTACGAACACATTTGATTGCGTAATTTTAATTTGAAATACTTTATTTTGTTAACGTTACCGGCCTGCCTCTTATGTCTAGGTTTGACTTCCTGCCAGAATTGACGCGATTCACCCGCGGCTCGCGGAAAAAATAGAGCCGACGCCGAAATGATCGCTGCACGGCGCGGGCTGGGACGCCGGCGCGCGGTGATTCGCGGCGCTTCGGTGGCCCATGTGGTCTATAGAATAGCTTAACAAGGGCGCCGAATGAAGGCGGCCCCATTTTCGCGGCGCTTCCGCGGCCAGTGTGTCCCCGGCGTAAAATGTCGGACTTTAGAAACGCATGCAAGATAAAGTGACAGAAATCGATGCAGATCAAAAATAGGTGTTTTTGCATTGAATTATATACCAACATGTGTTGTGCAAGTCAGTGCTAAAAATCAACCATGTTACTGATGTTGTTACCAAAATAATAAACTTCATCAGGGCGTGGGCCATGAATCACAGACAGTTTGTCGCTCTTTTGGAGGACTCCACACAGCTGTCAGATGGCTCAGCCTGGGGAAAGTGCTGAAGAGGGTTTGGGACTTGAAAGCAGAGATTCAGGATCTCTGCTGGATTTCTACTCTTCTCTTAAGGAGGAGAACTTTCCAAACCTGAGGAGACGTGCTCAGAAGATGTTGGTTCTCTTCGGCTCTACCTACATTTGTGAACAAACATTTTCAATGATGAAGTTTACAAAATCCAGGTAAAGATCCTCTTTCACTGATGATCATTTGTCAGCTGTGCTTCGCATCTCCACCTCAGACATTCAACCTGACTTTGATGCACTCGTTAAAGCCCAGCAGAGACTAGATTTCTCTCATTGAATGAGAAAAAATCGCTTAAAAACACAAAATAAGGTGTTTGGACCACAAATGTAGGCAACTAGCAGTGAACTGGGACACTTTTTTTAAACCTCTTTCTCAAGATCACAGTTCAGTGATTTTATTTTACAGACAATACTGCGTGTCTGTAGAATGCTAAGAACCTCTTTCCAACAATATTTGAAACTCAGAATGTGTTTTGGAGTGAATGTGACTGAAACTGTTAACTAATATAAGTCACAAATGTTTAACAAAAACCA